CCAAGTGGAGCATATTATTCAAAAATAAAGTTCCAAGGAATGAAAATTAAAATCGTGTACATTACAACCATACACTGCGACGCTCGAGTTTCAAACATATAGGTAACTAGCTGTACTGAACTTTCTGTGTAAACTGAGGGCGCAATTGCAAATGATGGCGCTTAGACGAAGTTTGATTGGCTAAATCTATGGCAGCCATCTTGGATGGTAAACACACACAGCTCTGCGTATTTCGAACATCGAATACATTGCAGTTAGCGCTCTAGAATTCTTATTATATCTCTATGGTTGAGTTGAGTTGAGTTTCGTGTCGACCTGAGCCTGCCTTTAGATAATATAAGCAGTGATGGCGCGCGCCAGGACCTGCTCGACGGAGGGGCTAAAGGGGGGGGGGGGCTAGGGATCGAGTCCCACTTGGCTGGGGGAAAGACGAGGGGCGTCTAGGGCCCCCGGTGGGGTCCCCTGGAAGCCACGGGTATTTGACGGATTATGGCGAATTTTTATTACTTATTTGATAGGCATCGAGTTAATAATATGACTTCATGTAGGCTACGTTTTCTAATATTGAAATCAGCTTCTAAAACCAAAAACATTTTGAATAAAGCAAGAAACAAAGAGTATGCAATGTAACTATCTAATCCTCATTCTTGAAAGTGAAATTCTAAATTTTAGTAATTTTGCATGAAATATGTCAACCACGCTGTCAAGGTCGAGGTTGGTTCACCTATCACGATGTATTCCAAGCATCGTGAGGCTCCTCCTCTGGCGGCACCACTGAATATAAGCAAATTAAGCAATAAAGTTAAAGCACTTTCTCGTACTTTTAAAGAGCATCTCTAAAACGTTTATCAGAGAAAAAAATACTTGCGTTTGGGTCTTATGTCTGCGCAATGAGGGAGGCTTCAGGGCTATAAACGTTTCCTTGGGAATACATTTGCTTGTTAATATAACATACAGGCCTATAATATAGTTGGATTTAAAAGTGGAAGGCGAAAATGTGATCATTACTATCGATGTGGCGCTTATATCGATTTTTAAAACACATTCGTTAAAGTCCCAAGCTTCGAGCTATTAAATATTTTTTTTAATAGTGAATGCCGGATTCATTATTATTTTTTTCTCTACGCACTTAAGGCATAAATTACAGAAAGCCTTATTTTAGGTCAGTTTGGTGAACTGATAATCATGAATATGCATACCAGACCTTAACCTCGCGAAAAATGTTCAGTGGGTGTATCGAGTTAGCTATGCTTATGCGTGGATGAAATCTATGGAGTAGGCCGAAGTCTGTTAAAATAGGCCTTTGTAGTTAAGATAATGTAAAAAAAATCAATGGACTATAATTTTAATATTATGATTATGACTAGACACATTTTATGTAGAGCATGGCCTTTCAAAGTATAAAAAGCACCGTAATATTGAATTTGGCTATTTGAGTAGGCGTACAGTATAGTATCCTGGATATGACATGTGTTGTAGCCATTGCATGCCCCTATAATAGTAATCATTCTGAAGGATATAAACGTTTGGTAATGCTCCGAGACAAATTACGAGTATTTCGGACACGGTTCCTAATTTGCAATTTTACAATTAAACATTTTTATGAGAAAAAAAATCCCTGTTAATTAACAGACAGTGAACGTATTTGCTGTATATTTTTACATGATTCATTGTTAAGGATTTATTTCCTGCTATTAAGTGAAAGTTTCTGTTTATTACTTCCGTCTGATTTCGATCGTTTTAAATAAGTTATTTTTTATTTGGATAGACAGCCTTTAATATAAACAGTAGGACATATATAATAGCATATATTTGATTTGGTATAATCAAAGTTTATTGCTATATAAATGTATGCCTATTACTTACATATTGAATATGAACGACATGTTTGTGAGAAATCAACATTTAACAATTGTACATAGAATTTTCTTCTAAAACAATTCCCTGATAATGGCATATATACTGTACTTTAAATTACTGCATTACTCAATAACCGACGAGATTCAAAGCTGCTTTTTATACAACTTTCAAGGATTATGCTGTACGTAAACGCAGTGTCTAGGCATAGAGATATAATATATAATAATATTACTGTATAATTACAATACTAAACAGTAGGCCATTAATTTTCGCTGTGTCGACTACACTGTCTCGATAAAATACCAAGAAATGTTGGCCTACGAACTACACTTATATATGAGGCGCCAAGTGTAAATAATTTATTTAACACAATTATTTATATGTAATTCAGTATTTAACATCTTATTGAATAGATCGCCCATTATTTATATATAAATCATTTACGTCTAAAAGATTATATGTAAATAATTGCGTTAACATTTTCATTATTTATATATAACTAGTGTACTGATTTCATTATATATAAATAATAAAAAGGTAACCAAACTTTATTTATATATAATAAGTTTACTGATTTCATTATATATAAATAACGAATTGACTTCAAACTCATTATACTGTATACAAATAACTGCTTTTACATTTCATTTTATATAAATAACAGCTTTCGCAAAACCATTATATGTATATAATGTTTGGACTCATTATATGTAGGCCTATATAATGCACACGTGTTATCGTGTCAAGGTCATTATATCTAAATAATGGTTTCTTACTGCCAATTATATATAAACATTGAGGTCGGGTGCCATTATATATAAATAATGAAATCGTAGGAAGCCATGGCCTATAAATAATTCGTTATGCAAATTACGAAGTAATAAATATTCATCAATGCTCTAAAGTTACAATTAGGGCCTATTTATCCTGGGTTCCAGGCCCTAATTTTGGGTTACACACGCTTTATTGCATTTAGTGCGTGCCATACCTAATTTATTTAGCGTCCCATACTCGATTTTTATTTCGGATTAAAAAATCTTAAAAAAATAAGAGAATTGTGGCAAGTCTATGGCCTATTGTGTGTGGTTTACAGGTCGCAGACCATCACCAATCGAAAATGGCACAGCAAGGGATAGTGTTTTAATTGATTAGCAATTTTTAAATATTATTTAATGTTTGTATTCATACAGAACCTAGAACAGTGCTACCATCGACCACATTAGTGTCAACTGAGAGTATTTTCTTAACTATTATTATGTATGTATTTAAAAAATATGTGTATTCAGAATTTGCAATTATTATTTATTTATAATATTATTATTCATTATTGGTGGAAATGTCTTTTAAGTGTTAATCACATTTCCATATGTTTACAGAATCTACAACATTGCAGCCAACCACATCAGTGATAACTGAGGGTATGTTTTTTAGTGATTATTATTTATGTATGTGTCTGTGTT